AGATAAGCCAGGATCATATTAAACATATAGGGATCCCGGGAATTGACCAGTTCAAGAATATAGTTTTCAGAAAAGCCGGGATCGTATTAAAGTATAAAGAGATCCAAAGAATTGGCCAGTTCAAGAATATAGTTTTCAGAAAAGCTGGGATCGCATTAAAACATAAAGGGATCCCGGGATTTGACCAATTCAAGAATGTAGCCGTTGATTTTTCCAATTATTAGGCATATAATTATAAGTATTGTGATTTTTAAGTTTGTTGATAAATAGCTCTAAATATATTTATATCCAAAGTTTAATTAATTTAACGTTCATTACATACAATAAAAAAACTTAACGTTTAATGGCCTTTCATTACGACAATAATCAACACAAATATAGTTTATAAGTTTTTCCTCTATATCTTATACGATCCCGGATCCCGGCTAGTCCGGGCGTCCCGGATCCCGGCCAGTAAATATATACACTAAATACCGGAAAGGATAAAATGACCGGAAAAAATGAAAAAGGAAAAATGCACAGAACCAGGTGTACACTTATGTTAATTAACCAAACGAAAACTTACTACAGAGGAACAGGTGAAATCGCTAAATCAAAAGTCAGTGTTAATATGATTTATTGAAAAGAATTCATGAAAACAAACATTTTTAATAATAATAATATCTTTGCGCTCAAAACAATACTTGCTGCTTTTTAAATATGGCGTGAAAATTGAAGGATTTTTGACGCTATGTAAGATTAAATTTGATTGGCTAAATAATTTTGGATCCTAGTCCTGATAGATAAATTTTTATAGAAAGCTGGAAGCCAAGCTTCGATTAAATTTGTGGATGTATTCGGAGTTTAAGGTTGTTTCTCAGTAAAATCCTATCGTAATACCGGCTCGCCGTGGCGAGCCGGCATAACAACAGGCTTCAATTAAGTTAAAACAGGTGCTAGCACTCGTACTTTCACTTTTAAATTTCAAAATATTCAGAGTTCATTTTCCATCAAACCTGAATTTGGTCACAGTATATGAAATGAAAGTTTTGGCGCTCCAAACCTAAGAAGAAATATGTCCACGGTCACTTGAAACAATTATGTAAAACTATTATAACTGCAAAGAATACTTTAAAGTTAACATGGTAGATTATCGGGGTGCAACACATATGTGCACCACCCTAATCTTTTTGCCATTAATACAGCGTGTAACATATGCGTTAGGGAATTGATTCTTTGGCTCCTGACTAGGGGCTATGTGTACACTTGAAGGTTTTAGTTTGATAGTCACAATTACACACAAAATAAAGATAAGAGTGTAATATTGAATTGTTATTCAAGATTTGATTGTAAGGGAATGCTTAGTGCCGATTTTGACCCCAGGGCTATAATTTGAACAATCTTGGTAAGTGTCTACCAGACAATGCCTTATGCAAAATATCTAAGCTCTATGCCTTTTGCGTCTTTACAAGAAGGTATTTTAAGTTTTTACTATATGTACATATAGTGAAAATCAATGACTCCCGGGCGGGGCCGATTTTGACCCAAGGGCTATATATTTGAACAATCTTGGTAGAGGTCTACCAGACAATGCCTTATGCAAAATATCTAAGCTCTAGGCCTTTTGGGTCTTTACAAGAAGATTTTTTTTAAATTTTGTTCTTATAACTCCTTTTGGTTAACATGGCAGCCAGATTTCTGCATGGAATGAAATTCTTTGACATGGCAGCCAGATTTCTGCATGGAATGAATTCTTTGAAAAACTTTGGAAGCCCTTCACCCAAGGACCAAGTTTGGTTGAAATTGGACTAGTGGTTTTTCACAAGAAGATTTTTTAAGTTCACTATATAATCTATATAACACACACACACAAACAAACACACACACACACACACACACACACACACGCACACAGGTGAATCGCTATATGCCACTTCATCGCAGATGCTGCGGTGTACACACACACACACACACACACACACACACACACAGGTGAATCGCTATATGCCACTGCATCGCAGATGCTGCTGTGGCATAAAAAAAATACTACACAATTAAGATAAAAAAGAAAAGACATTAAAGTGGCTGACACAGGATTCGAACCTACGAGTTTGTATTAACATATTCTTGAAGTGAAATACCTTTACCGACTGAGCTAAGAGTGATTTTTATTTATTTAAATTATTTAACAACTGCTTATCTATACCGATTTACAAGTAGATAGTAACGATTACGGAATTTACCGATGTTAGGGTCAAATGCAAGAGTGCCAGGTCAATATATTGTTGGACAATAATAATGTACACAATGGAAACATGAATTATTGAAAAAAGCTTTGGGTCTGAAGCTTTTTCAGTATTCTAGTGCCACCAACGATGAACTTATTTTTTATTCAAAATTGAAATCTGTCCTCTTAATTGACTTCTTCTGTAGTCATTCGTAGTCAAAAGGCCAGAATTTCAATTTTTAATTAAAAAACAGTGCAACTGAGTGCAGCATAAACTTGCAAAAAAAAGTAAATATATTTGTACTATTTATGGTATACAAGATAGATATATTTACATTTGATTGACTATTCTTTAAACTTGTTAACAGCAGAAAAATATACCGAGGAAATTCCTTTAATATAGCTCAACATTTGAACCAATTACATGCAACCTCTAGTAAGGTATTTCATTAATAAAATCCGATACTTTTTGGTGTATGAAGGGCTAAAAATAGTACTTTAAGACCTTCCCTGGAAAATAACTGAGTTGTGCTATTAATGACCAACGAAATGAGTAAAGAAATGTTGGCCAGATATACCAACCTAAAATCAATACTCTTTCAAATTTCACAGTATTGTAGCTATTATAAATGTTTACTGTCACTTTATTTCGAATTCGCTGATCACAAAACAAGAAACAATTTACTACAGTCGATGTTAATTTTTCGTTTAAGTACAAATAAAGTCGTATTTTGAATTGGGACAGTTGTAGGCTGGTTCTAATGATTTTAGGGTGGGGGGAAAATCCCGGAATCGCCTATAGAAAAGCCGGGACCCGGGATCGTATTAAACATATAGTAATCCCGAGAATTTACCACCTACTTTTGGTGTATTATTATTATGATCATCATTATTTGAATGTTTTTGTAGAGATTTCTGAATAAGTTTGATTTGTAGTAGTTATAAAAAAAATCTTTAAAAATAACGTATTTTTTCACAGACAAAGGCGTTAATTTAAGTTTGTTAATAAATAGCTCTAAATATATTTATATCCTAAGTTAAATTAATTTAATGTTCATTACATACAATAAAAACTTATAATAACTTTTAATCGCCTTTCATTACGACAATTATCAACACAAGGAACATCGCAATGCGATGCAACCAGGTTTTCAGTAAAATATTTCACAGAAGCTTCGTCATGCAGGGGCATTTGTTTTAAAGTGAACACCAGCCCGCCCACCCAAAATCACAAAACCCCGATGATATGAACAAGGACTCTTGATGAGAAAGCTTCTGTGAAAGTTTGTCAAAATAGTTTGTAGGAAGAGGTGTGCAAATAAGAATTTGTTCACTTTATATTCTATATATGGAACAAAAACAATATATTTCTATATAAGGGAAAAAAATAAATGGCCATAATTAGGTCAAACATTATCAAATCTCAACCCTGACAACATGCAGCAAGAGTTGATGACAAAGCTTCTGCGAGAGTTTTGTCAAAATCCCTAGAGAATTGTAGGAGTTGCGCACAGAATTGCGCAGAGAAGAAGTGTTCACTATATAGAAAATCTATATTCTGTATAAGGAAAAAAAACAAAGGGCCATAATTAGGTAAAAAATTATCTAATCACAAAACCCCGACAATATGTGCTATGGCACTTGATGACAAAGATTCTGTGAAAGTTTGGTCAAAATCCGTTGAGAAATGTAGGAGAAGTTGCGCACTGTAGAAATTGTTCACTATTATATTCTGTATAAGGAAAATATACACAAAGGGCCATAATTCGGTAAAATATTATCCAATCACAAAACCCCGACAATATGTGTCAGGCACTTGATAACAAAGCTTCTAAGAAAGTTTGGTCAAAATCCGTTGAGAAATGTAGGAGGAGTTGCGCACAGAAGAAATTGTTCACTATAATATTCTCTATAATGAAAAAGAAACAAAGGGCCATAATTAGGTCCAATATATACCAATTGCAAAACCCTGACAATATGTGTCAGGGCACTTGATGACAAAGCTTCTGAGAAAGTTTGGTCAAAATCCGTTGAGAAATGTAGGAGGAGTTGCGCACAGAAGAAATTGTTCACTATATATTCTATATAAAGAAAAAAAAAACAAAGGGCCATAATTAGGTCAAATATTATCTAATCGCAAAACCCCGACAATATGCGCCAGGGCACTTGATGACAAAGCTTCTGTGAAAGTTTGGTCAAAATCCGTTGAGAAATGTAGGAGGAGTTGCGCACAGAAGAAATTGTTCACTATATATTCTATATATGGAAAAAAAACAAAGGGCCATAATTAAATCAAATATTATCTAATCGCAAAACCCCGACAATATGCGCCAGGGCACTTGATGACAAAGCTTCTGTGAAAGTTTGGTCAAAATCCGTTGAGAAATGTAGGAGGAGTTGCGCACAGAAGAAATTGTTTACGCACGCCCGACCGCCCGCCCGCCGACATACCTCAATCTAATAACCAGTTTTTTCCTTCGGAAAACCTGGTTAACAAATATAGTTTATTAGTTTTCCCTCTATATCTAATACGATCCCGGATCCCGGGATTTTCTCCCCACCTGATTTTAGGCTGAATATGAGATTCATTAAGCAAAAATGGATGCCCCCAGCAATCAACACTGTGGAGAAGTCTGATGACCTCTCAGATAATACAAGAGTACAAAAAACGGGGGTCTAAATATGATTGACAGTCCTATATTTCCAACTCTATGAAATCGAACTTGATAAAATGAATAATAAACGGTTAATATAACGGAGAGTGGAAAGAAATAATAAAGAAAAATATAAACCATTTAGGTGGAATATCTTTATTTAAATGGAATATAAACACAAAAGATATATTGAAATTTAAGGTATTATCACCATAATGGGCACTATAAGGAATTAAAAAATTGACCTCATAGGTCAGATATATACTATAAAGTACACCTGTATGCAAAATTTAAACAAAGTTTACCATACGGAAATCAAGTTATGGCCACTTTTCTGAACTCAAGGATGTTATGAGGGCCCTTTTTTAGAAATGAGGAACCTTTAAATAATCTGCAATAACATTCTAATGAAAAATGTTTTCCCATTAATTTTTGGTAAGAAACAAATAGTACCATTTAGCTAACAATCCACATAAGCAAAATTATGGTTTCTACTTAAAATTTATGAAACCTGTATAAAATGTTACCCTACCCCACCCATTTTTACCACGTGTCTGACCATTTTCCTACTTAGGGAGCCTAATTTAAAAAATCCTTCAAATTTACCCAAATGAGTGCCTGTTGTCAAAGTTTCCCTAAATTTTTAAAGAAGTATATTGGTTGATCTAGTAAAACATGAAATACTTTATTTTATTACACTTTGAAAATATCAGGTACCATATTTATTGCTAGATTTAGCATAATTTAGCCAATAAATATCTATATAAATTAAAAAAATCAAAATTAAACACTTTTTTCTTTCCAAATGGGACATGAGAGATACATAAATAATGTTAAAAGAAAAATAGAAAGAACGAAAAAGTTGACCCTTCTGGGGATTGAACCCATGGCCCTCATTTTCATTGTAGTTAACAGTAGTGCATGAGGATGGTAATACCTTAAAGTTGAAAATAAATTTATACATGAAGAATTAGTAGCTTGGAGTGAAGCCTGCAAAATATAACAGAACAAATACTTTGTGACAAACTTCAAATATAAAAAAATAGCAACAGTTTTTTTTTATATATCGTGTAAAAGACATCTACATGTATAATATCAACACACAAAAGTTTAAAACTTTTAGTCAATTAAAAACTGAGTACAACATTCCTAATACTGAGTTTTTGAATTACTATAGGCTGTTAAAAGCTAACAGAGAAGGTAACGCAGCAACAAATTTAACAATTTATAATTAAAGAAAAACAATTATTTACAAAAATATGAAAGTAAAGTTTAACTCACAATTATCGACAAATCTAATTTAACAAATTTCTTAAAGTTTAACTCACAGTTCAAATTCAATTGTCCATAACTAAAATTTAGTCAATGTCCAATGTCAACAGCAGAATATCATAATATATCCAAAACACTTCCAACACAGAATTACAGAATCTAAACTAATATATAGAGGTCAGTGTAAGATCGGAATATATTTCACCAAGATATATTTCACGAGTGAGGCAGACACGAGTGAAATATGAACTTTTGGTGTTCACAATTGAAATATATTTCAATCTTACATTAAACTAAACAAATTTTACTTTTTATTATATGCAAAGAAACGTTAAAAAAGACATTTAACCTAGTACTTAATGAAAAGGGCGCCAAATAATAATATGCAACGTCATTTACGACGTCACGTCATTAAGTTGGTCTCCAGTACTGTGCAGGCTGGTATTTCACTGAAACAACCGACCGGGCTCAAATATTCAAAACAGTGATATTATCAAATTGATAATTTCACTGTTTAAAACAGTGAAATTATTAGTTTTTATTTCACTGATATATTTCTATAAACCACCGAAAAGCATGTAATAAAATCCTATGTTAGCTTCACGATATTATAAGTAAAATAGCACAAAATCAGTTCATTAACATCACACAAAAACACAAATTAGCAGACACACCTTGAAGTACAAACATTCATCATATATAAACTATTAATGAACAATCTAGAATACTAAACTACTTAGAGAAAGAATATTCCAGAATGAACATGAAAAAGAAATTATTTAAACATTAGATAAACAAAATTATTGAAAATGATAGTGGCAACAGTTGGTATCGAACCCACGACCTCGAGATTATCAATCCTGCACTCTACCTACTGAGCTATTCAGAAAATATTAAGTAAACATAATATGAATATATAGTGTCATTAAAATAAAATGGCATTTAAAAAACAAGAGAGCCATGATGGCCCTAGATCGCTCACCTGTATATAGGCCCCCGGAGCGGGACCAGTTTAAACCCCAGGGCTTTTATTTGAACAAACTTGGAAGACACCAATTAGAAGATGTTTCATGATGTTAAGATTTTACTACACACATAAAATGAAAAACAATGATCTCGCCCCCTTTCTTTCCTCCCCCCCCCAGCAGGGCCAATTTTAACCCAAGGGCTTTTATTTGAACAAACTTGGTAGACACCCATTAGAACATGCTTCATGCTAAAAATCTAAGCTCTAGCTCTTTTGGTTTTTTAAAAGGAGATTTTTTATTGTACACATATAGTTAAAAACAATGACACCCCTGGGGCAGGGCCAGTTTTGACCCCTTTTATTTGAACAATCTTTGTAAACACTTACTAGAAGATGTTTCATGCTTAATATCTAAACTCTAGCTATTCGGGTTTTTTCGAAGAAGATTTTTAAGTTTTTGCTATACATATATATAAGGAAAATCAATGTTCCCCTTGGGAGGGGCCAATTTTGACCCCAGGGCTCTTATTTGAACAAACTTGGTAGACATCCATTAGAACTTGTTTCATGCTAAATATCTTAGCTCTAGCTTTTGGGCTCTTTAAAAGAAGATTTTTTAAGTTTTTACTATATTCATATAGGGAAAATCATCGACCCCCTGGGGCGGGGCAATTTTGACCCCAGGGCTTTTATTTGAACAAACTTGGTAGTCACCCATTAGAACCTGTTTCATGCTAAATATCTTAGCTCTAGCTCTTTGAGTTCTTTTAAAGAAGATTTTTTAAGTTTTTACTATATGCATATAGGGAAAATCAATGACCCCCTGGGGCGGGGCCAATTTTGACCCCAGGGCTTTTATTTGAACAAACTTGGTAGACACTCATTAGAAGATGTTTCATGCTTAATATCTTAGCTCTAGCTTGTTGGGTTCTTTAAAAGAAGATTTTTTAAGTTTTTTCTTTTGGTTGCCATGGCAACCAGAGTTCTGCATGGAATTAAATTCTTTGAACAATTTTCAAAGGAACATTCCTGTGAAGTTTGGATAAAATTGGCTTAGCGGTATATGAGGAGATGTCATTTAAAGTAAAAGTTTACGGACAGACGACGGACTGACGCCGTATGGATGAACGCCGGACGAAAAGCGATCACAAAAGCTCACCCTGTCACTTTGTGACAGGTGAGCTAAAAAAGGGGGCATTTTTTCATCAACCGTTACTGTTATAAGGAATGAAGCTTCCCATGCATATTTTGGACACTATTCTACTCCAAATAGACATATTCAGTAAGAATTCTATGGATTTTAAATAAAAAAAAAATTACTCACAGATGAGCTACAGAGCTAGTATATCTTGAATTAAGCTGTGTTTCTCATACAGTGCGTTTCTCTTATTACAGGTTGATAATCAAATTAACAAATTACGATTCATTCCAAAAACTAGCTAGAGGCATCGGATTATGTCCACTTATTTCAAAAGTATAGGTATGTATATGTTAGATCGTCTCTATATGTAAATATTTCTAGAAGATGATGTTTGTTTTATATATTACATAATATTATGATTGGAGACAGTGTGTAAGAACATACACTACTACATTTTATGGTTATACATATAGTGTCAAGATATATATTTTAAATTATTCAGTTTTGAATTTTACTCTCAATTTTTGCCTAAGAACCCAAGCTTGCATCACTTTTTCAAGGGTGTCGCACTTTTCAAATTCTTTATCCTTTCTGTATGTCTGTTTTTCAATGTCCACAGTGTCTACTTCTACGTTTTCTGAAATTCAAAGTGTATTCAACCAATTACATATGAAAAACAGATATACATAATTGAGTCGCGTCACGACAAAACCAACAGCCACGCAGTCTGATCAGGATCCATGCTGTTAGCTACCAGTTTCTCTACTTGTAATAGGGTTGGTAAGTGAACAGCATGATTCCTGATCAGACTGCGCAGATGCACAGGCTGGTCTGGATCCATAATGGTCGCAAACACACTATGTTGGTTTTGTCGTGACGCGGCTAATATTATTCAGCAGGAGTTCAAATCTAGATGGAAAGAAGACATGATATATTTAATTATTCAAAAGACAACTGAAATTACTGAGCATATTGTGAAAATTAAGAAAACTGTTAAAATATCTATCAAATGACAAATTTCAAAGGCATCAGTGTCTAGTTTTAAAGGCGCAGATTAGTCTTGCTTAAACTGTTTCCTTTTAAAAATGTGGTATTCGTCCCAAACTCATAATTTTTCACAGTAGCATTCCTAAAACCTGATGAAGATCAGAACTAATACAGACATACCAAAAAGAAGCTTAGGCAGGCTGTGATCGTCACTTAAAGCAGCACACCTCCAGATTCATGCTAATTTCATGAAAATTTTGAAAACATATTTGAATGGGTAATGTTGTGAAGTAGCCAAAAGGAAGCAATTTACACATTATCAATGGCTCTTACAAACCACGTAAATTACCGAAAACATAAATAGCCTTTCAGCATCAGTTACGCAGTAGAAATATATTGATGCTTAATGACCAAGGAACATTGCAATGCGATGCAACCAGGTTTTCAGCAAAATATTTCACAGAAGCTTTGTCATGAAGGGGCATTTGTTTTTAATTGAACTTTTAGGAGGAATTATGGCTTTTTTAATATTCCTCAAACAAAAATGATTGAGAAATTTTATGTTGTCTATTCGCCTTTTTTTCCAAAATGTTTTAGAAAGGTAAACAGTACTTTATTTTTGCTTAATTTTTGCATTTTTGCGTCTCTTGTCATTTTCTTTTGTCAACAATATTGGCGTGTGGTGTTTTGTGCGATATCAAGAAAAGTATGTTCACAATTTTAAAAAAATACTTGAATGATGTCTTGGAAGAAACATGGGAATTTAGTGAGCGCCAGGGCACTTGATGACAAAGCTTCTGTGAAAGTTTGGTCAAAATCCATTGAGAAATGTAGGAGAAGTTGCGCACTGTAGAAATTGTTCACTATATATTCTGTATAAGGAAAAAATATACAAAGGGCCATAATTCGGTCAAATATTATCCAATCACAAAACCCCGACAATATGTGCCAGGCACTTGATAACAAAGCTTATATTCTATATATATATATATACTTGATGACAAAGCTTCTGTGAAAGTTTGGTCAAAATCCGTTGAGAAATGTAGGAGGAGTTGCGCACAGAAGAAATTGTTTACGCCCGCCCGCCCGCCGACATACCTCAATCTAATAACCAGTTTTTTCCTTCGGAAAACCTGGTTAAAAATCAGTCAGTAATCGCCATATGTTAAATATTACTTGAATCTTGACACTTTTAACTTTTCCTTACATCTTGGTACATTTTTCTCAAGTTTGATTTTATTGAAATATTTTGACTCATCTGGAGGTATGTAGCTTTAAAGAACTATTTCCTTCTAGTGGAATTCTATGTTGTTAGAAGAATGCTTTACTTAAGAAATGATATCAGTTTCAGTGGTGTTGGTCAGATATTTAACACATATTTTGAGTTTTGATGTGCTGGAATTGATCACATCTATAGGCCGTATCATTGTTGTCTCAAGGCTTTGGAAACTGTCTTATCGGAGGGGGAAAAAACAACCGCATATACATGCTGTCTCTAACCAGTGTTTATTACCAGTTGAACACTTGTTTTTTCTTCTTTGTGTAAAGTGCCAAAATCACGAGGAGTGTCTGAATTCTCAATAAATTAGTTTACATATCTTATTCTCAACTCTGTTACTTAAAGAGAATTATAAATATATATCTCTGCACTACTGTATGATTTGTGACGCGTTGGACGAAGGATCTATGCAATTGGGAATCAAGTATAATGCCTAACACACAAACTACATGCATCTAAGGTTAAAAAGTGTTAATTCAAAATTTTACTGATAATCTGATATCAATAAACTCATTTCAGTCGTCAAATAAATCACATTGCAACATAATGTTACAATAGCTTAGCATTATAAATAAATTCATGTGTAACACTTTATTGCAACATGAAATATCTTTTATCTTTTATTATTATTTTTTATGTTATATGGTGTAATCAGTAACTTACTGCCAAAAGCTTTAACCAACTGTTCTTTCAAGTTTGTAATTTCCTGTAAATAGCCAATAGGTAAATCCTTTATTGTATCTTTGCCATCTGTAAAATCAATAAGTACTTCTTCGTCTGTGTGAAATGCAAAGTTGCTGTTTATATTGATACGGTTGTTATATATTTGGGGACTTTTTTCATTGGCCTCTTTTAAATGATCAGACAGATACTTATGCAAATTTGAATATGTTATAAAATCTGTAGTCATTTGCCAGTATTCCCGGCAAGGCCTACAGTTGCCGGGACATGGTGATTTTTCTGACCTTGCTTTCAATCCTCGAATAAACCACTTTGTAAAGGTACTTATATTTGTCATAGATGCCCTCTCACTAGTTTCACATGCATTTATCTGAATAAATTTCCTCTCACTGTTATTAAACTGTACCTTTGGCGGAAAGCATTGATCCAAAACTAAAACCAGTTTTTCAATATTTTCTAATCGAGCTAACTCATTCTGAAAATCAAGCAATGAAACACTATCTGTTTCTGACCCAAGATGAAAACTATTTTCAGTTTTTCCACCATGACATGAAAAATAAATAAACAATGTGTCAAGGTCCCTTCTCTTGCTGAAATATTCAATGTGAGCTTTGACTTTAGGCCAAAGATTCCCTCCTTCTGTTTCTCTATCTGGTTGTTTTTTGGATTCGTCACCAAGGTTTTCTTCTTCCATTTCTCTACATGTCTTTCCTTTCATGTTGGCGTTGTTGGGTACATCAGGTACTACAGTGCGAATATCCTCTTTACTGTAAGTATAAAATGGGACGTTTCTGATATTTTTATACTTGCATTCTTTAGATAATTAATAGATCAACTAAACCCCTGCAACTACTCTTTTAAGTGTATACAAGGTTTAATAAGTATTGCATCTTCAGATAATACCCTGTTACATGGTTAGAGTGAAATTATACTGTGTGAACAATGATGGCCCTGAAGTCGCTTACCTGTATATAGGCCCCCGGAGCTGGGCCAGTTTTAACCCCGGGGCTTTTATTTGAACAAACTTGGTAGACACCCATTAGAAGATGTTTCATGCTAAACATCTAAGGTCTAGCTCGTTGTTTTTTTTTAAAAGAAGATTTTTTAAAGTTTTTTCTTAACACATATAGTTAAAAACAATGACACACCTGGGGCAGGTCCAGTTTTGACCCCAGGGCTTTTATTTGAACACTCTTTGTAGACACTTACTAGAAAATGTTTCATGCTTAATATCTAAACTCTAGCTATTCGGGTTTTTTCAAAGAAGATTTTTAAGTTTTTGCTATACACATATAAGGAAAATCAATGTCCCCGGGGTGGGGCCAATTTTGACCCCAGGGCTTTTATTTGAACAAACTTTGTAGACACTCACTAGAAGATGCTTCGTGCTTAATATCTAAACTCTAGCTATTTGAGTTTTTTAAAAGAGAATTTTTAAAGTTTTGCTATACACATATAAGGGAAATGAATGACCCCCGGGGCAGGGCCAATTTTGACCCCAGGGCTTTTATTTGAACAAACTTTGTAGACACTCACTAGAAGGTGTTTCATGCTTAGTATATAAACTCTAGCTATTTGGTTTTTTTCCAAAGAAGAATTTTTAAGTTTTTGCTATACACATATAAGGAAAATCAATGATCCCCAGGGCGGGGCCAATTTTGACCCCAGGGCTCTTATTTGAACAAACTTGGTAGACATCCGTTAGAACATGTTTCATGCTAAATATCTTAGCTCTAGCTCTTTGGGTTCTTTAAAAAAAGATTTTTTAAGTTTTTACTATATGCATATAGGGAAAATCAATGACCCCCTGGGGCGGGGCCAATTTTGACCAAAAGGGCTTTTTTTAAAACAAACTTGGTAGACACTCACTAGAAGATGTTTCATGCCAAAAATCTAAGCTCTAGCTCTTTGGGTTTTTTAGAAGAAGATATTTAAAGTTTTTTCCTTGAGTTCTGCATGGAATTAAATTCTTTGAACAATTTTCAAAGGTGACCACCAAAGGAACATTCCTGTGAAGTTTGGATGAAATTGGCTTAGTGGTTTATGAGGAGATGTCATTTAAAGTAAAAGTTTACGGACAACGGATGGACGGACGACGGACGGACACCGGACAATAAGCAATCACAAAAGCTCACCCTGTCACTTTGTGACAGGTAAGCTAAAAATAACAGAAACAAACCTGATTCCAATTATTCGTGGAGCTTTCGATGTTATCAGCTTCTCTATCTCTTTTATGTCCCGGGCCATTACTTTAGTATTTTCTTTGTTTTTTGTATCTGTTCCTGCGACAAGCAAAGCACCCCATCCACTTCCTTAAATCAAATATTAACGTATTTGAAGTGCTTTATAAACCAAGATCAACATATAATTTGTCAATATATTCACATTGTTTATCAGCATGGTAACAGTGTTACAAATAAAATAAATTTTAATTGTTTTAAGATAAAACTTCGTTATTTTGCTATTAAACTAAACAAGTCGAAAAGACATGTTAAATCGTTTGCATATGCAGTTGTTTCTGTCTTCCAAATCTGATCAAAATATCGGCAATAGCATAAAGAAGTCATTTTGGTTTAATGTAATAAGGGTTAAAATGCACTTGATCAAACTTTGTATTCACAAATTTTGCGATAATTTACCCAAATCATCAATTTCAACAAGTTCTAAGTCACACCACTTATTATCTCTAAAAATATTTTAAACACCTGCATAAATCTCACTTTCCAAACATTATTTTATTGGAATACCATTTTCAATTCAATTACATGAAAGTATTACTTTAAAGGTGCAATGATGATCACCGCCATATGAACATGTTTGCTGATGGAAATTAACTCTGAAGTATGCATAATCTTCATACATAACTGTTGGTAATAGCGTTAGCCAATTCTAAGGATGGACCAACTGACTATTCCCTTACAGTATGCACCCAACTTTTTAAGCTCTCTCTCAAATATCAGGATTTTCATCTGTAAATTCGAATCTGTGCCAGTTTTGTTCCAATCAAATACCTGAGTTTCAGCTGAGAAATTTTCTTAATAATCTATGATGCAAAGTTTCTCCTTTTTTAGTCACCTGGCTATTATCAATGATTAGTTAATATATTTACCGTTTCCTTATATAGACGGTATAAATATAACTTCAACAATCACCCATTTCAAGACAGAGCTGTATGGCGATGTGCCTAATTGTATATGCAATGTGAATGAGGTAATATTTAGTGTTTTTTCTTTTCATTGGTACCACCCGTTGACAGGTATCTCACTATATCTTTATCAAGTAACTTGCAAAGAAATATATTTTTGAATGGATCTAAAGTTGGTCAGACAATGCCATGTCTGGATTAAATGATTCCTATATTTTCAAATATATCTTTTCTTTAATATAGTTGTTTGGTATACAGACACTTGGAATATGGAGCTCCAAACGCCTTCAAATTTATTGCATATTAAATTTTGTCTAGTCCACCCGCTTAGTGAATCCAGGGGTATTTGGTTTGATCCTCATTGGATTTTAAGGCATTTAAATAATAAAGTTGTTTCATTTATTATATGTGCTTGGATTGACAAATACTCAATTCATTGGATTTTAAGGTGTTTAAAGCTGCACATGTCTGTGGTCTGGTAATTATTTTCAATTGTATGATCTTATATTACCAAACAGTACTTTACGTATCATTAAATTAGATGTATCTGGATCTGTCTCTTCATTGTTCAGGCATAAATATATATATGTAGCTAACAAAATAATTACCTATCACAGGTGTCAATTCTGTACCACAGTAACACGTTAAAGGATTTAGAAAACTGTTCTTTTCACATGCTATGCATGCTTTGATTAGTTGTGTACAATTACTGGAATTATGTTGTTTCATAGATGTTTCTTGTGCTGTAATAAGATAAATTCAGAGTCATACCACTTCTGATGCTAAACATAACTATCAGATATCCTTTAAGGAAATCAGCATTTACTGGTCAAAGTTTTAATAAATTAAGTACAAAGTCATCTAAGAATTATTTTCTCTATATGCACAAAATTAGTCATCAGTATTAATTCTGCCTTAAAAATTGTAATTCCATTGCCAAATGTTGATAAGCTACAGCAAATGATTCCTGAAAAATACTCTGACCGAAAAGCTGAGAAACAGAGACCATGTTCTGACGAATGAACTGAAGACAAAGTGACGATGCATCATTGCTAAAAAGTATACATTACAAGCTTGAGATCACCTATAGGGTTTATCATGCATACATGACACCTATCATTTGAAAGTTGTAGGATCTCTATTCCACCGAAGTCTTTCCAGATCTCCTGAAAAAATATAAGAAATGCAGCTTCTAAGCAAACGCTGTTGAAAATTTCAACACCAAATTATCATTTTTTACTTCCATTACAACTAAATTTACATTCCATTTTGATTAAGAAACATCAAAATCCATTATTTTTACATCAAACAGAAACAAAAAAGTCGAGAAGTTTATCAATTTTAAAGTTGATAACAATACATACTTGTAACTCTTCTACAACATTTTCTTTGAAATTTGAAACTGTCCAATTATTTTGTTGTAATAAACTGCTTGAAATTCGAACCAACTTTTCAACTATATCACTTGGCTTTGGCTCCCATATCTTTACCTGTAGGAAACATCAGAAATAACATTTTTAGCTAGAAATTTTTCATAATTAATAAATAAATAAAATATAAAATATATAAAAAATATATATACTGTAAATAGTGATACTGATGTTGCCGTTGTATTTAGAGCATTCTTGTCTGTACATTATTAGGATTATAGAACAAGACACCATTTCATTTATACAAAAAGCAAATAAAAAAAACCCAACAAAATAAAACACAATCATTCACTGGTGTATAGAAACTTATTGTTTTTGAAATAAATGACTAATAAAGTATCATTTTATTTCTCGTGGATGATATCCTCCAGTAATTTCTGATAAGATAAAAGACATCTTACATAAGCATAGTTTTGAATTTCATCTTCTGTCATATATTTCAAATATCTGTTACTAACGCCATCAGGTCCAAGACTGGTCAATAATTCTCTCATGACTGCAATTGAAAATACCAGAATGAGATATGATTTTGTTTCATTCAAACAATATTTATTATCAGTTCGAAGCTGTATTGTTTACAATGTTATTGTAATAATTTTAACAAGAGGGCCATGATGGCCCTAGATCGCTCACCTGACTTATCAAACTCATCCAAACAATTACCTAGACAAGCATTCTGACCAAGTCTTATGACAGGTGAGTCAAAAATGTGACCACTACAGTGTTATCAAGGATTATCCATAGTTGAGCAGTGCGACCTTGTTTTTTACCCAGATGACACATATTCAAACTTGACCTAGAAATCATCAAAACAAACTTTCAGACCAATTTCCAGGATACTTGGATCAAAACAGTAGTACCTAGAGTGTTAACAAGATTTTACTATTTTTAGCTCTGGTGAGCTAGTTTCACATGCGATTTCGAACTCATCCAAGCAATTACATAGACAAGCATCCTGACCAAGTTTGATGACAATTGAGTCGAAAATGTGACCACACGAATGTTAACAAGGTTTTTCCATATTTGGGCGGTGTGACCTAGTTTTTCATCCAAGATGACCAATGTTCGAACTTGACTTAGAAATCATCAAAACAAACTTTCAGACCAATTAACAGAATATTTGGATCACAACAGTAGCCACTAGAATGTTAACAAGATTTTTCTATTTTTAGCTCTTGTGACCTAGTTTTTCATCCGAGATGACCCATGTTTGATTTATTCCCAGCAATGACCTAGACAAGTTTCCTGACCAAGTGTGATGACAATTGAGTCAAAATTGTGACCACTAGAGTGTTAACAAGGTTTTTCTATTTTTAGCTCCTGTGACCTAGTTTTTCATCCGAGATGACCCATGTTCAAACTCATCCGAGCTATCACCTAGACAAGCACTTTGATACAGTTTGATGATGATTGATGCAAAAATGTGACCGCTAGAGTGTTAACAAGGTTTTTCTATTTTTAGCTCCGGTGACCTACTTTTTCATCCGAGATGACCCATGTTAGAACTCATCCGAGCCATCACCTAGACAAACATCCTGATCAAGTTTGATGATGATTGAGGCAAAATTGTGACCTCTAGAATATTAACGTGGTTTTTGTATTTTTAGATCTCGTGATCTAGTTTTTCATCCGAGATGACACATGTTCGAACTCATCCGAGCTTTCACCTAGACAAGCATCTTGACCAAGTTTGATGATGACTGATGCAAAAATGTGACCACTAGAGTGTAAACAACTTAATGTGAACGGACGACGGACGACGGACAATCATCGATCATAAAAGCTCACCCTGAGCATGCTCAGGTGAGCTAAAAATGCAAAATATTATACTATTTAAAGCAGCACACGTCAAGGTTACGCTTATTTCCATGAAAATTTGAAAATGTATTTAACAGTATAATATTGTAAAGTTACCAAAAGAATGCAATGTACACATTATCAATGGCACTTAAAACCCACGTAAATTACCATAAAGAGGTCAAAATATGCATAAATAGCCCTTACTGCGTAAGTAACGCAGTAGAAATATAGTTATAAATACTGGAAAATTGGTCATTAATCGCACATAACATATAAATTATTCCCAGAAGTTTGGATCTTTATACTTTTCCTAAAATCTTAGTACATTTTTCTCAGGTCTCATTTTATTGAAATATTTTTGCTCATCTGGAGGCGTGCAGCTTTAAAGTAATGTAAAAGAATATAACAACTAAATTTAAATATATATATATATATATATATATATATATATATATATATATATATATTATATATATATATATATATATATATATATATATATATATATATATATATATATATATATATATGCATAAATGCAAATTTGTTTTAAGTATTCAAAATTTAAAGTAATCAAAAAAAAAAATTTCCAATCTAAAAAATTTATTACGCTTATTTATAAGGCTTGTCTGGAACATGTTTTATTTTAATTATCAATATAAAAGGAAGTTAAAGATCTATATTGATACACGCCAAAGAACTTTGGTCTTGTCACATGAATACTTAAAGGTACATTTTGTACTCTAAATGCTTAAGTGTGCGTGGGTGTGTGTGTGTGCGTGATCTGTAACTGATAAAATTCAAAGAAACATACATTACAAATAATACTATACCACAGATTTAAAGGCACAAAACAATGTGCCCAAAAATTAATCAAAAATCAAAATGCTATGCTTATAATTTTCTTTTTTATTACCTCTCTTTAGATTTATGAATTCTATCTTCAGTTCATTATTTGTACAAAAAAGACAATTTTTCTTTTATAAAGCAAACAGAGTGAAGTACATGCTAAATATACATGCTCTGCATGTTGAAGGTTGTAGGAAAAGCCTTGTAAGACATGTTATATTTTAAATTTGTCTACATTTAATTGTGTGATACCTACCCCTCCACATCTACGAAATAGGTGCTATTTTTTAATATCATGAAAAAGCTAGGGTTTTTCTTAGGGAATTTTTCATGGCCAAAAAAACAAATTTCTGGGCATAAGGTGATACATGCCAAATAACAAATTACTGGGCATAAGGATACACTCATAAAAATATATTTTCCTATCTTTGTGACGCCTGGTTCAGGGCCAATATTGACCCCAGGAGTATATAACTTTTGTAGCTGAACAGGGTAATGCGTCATGCAAAGCATATAAGCTTTAACATAGAAATAAACTAGAACTATCACTAAATGTGATTAATACCCCCACAAAACTGCTTCAGAAATGAGGATGTTACTAGTAACAGAATACCTTGTAAAAGAATTGAAATATAGAGTTATGGTTGTGGGCAATTAAAGATAGTTGTGGTTCTTGTATGTTGCATTTCCTTTCAATGTGGTTGGCCATTGATGAAGATTTATTGAATTACTCTGTAATAAGTCCAGAAAGACAAGGAAAAGAAACAAAGGGCAATAACTCTATAAATACTGAAGATGGAGTTATAGTTCTTGTGTACTGCACTTCCTCTTATTGTGCTTGACCATTGTATGAAGTTGTTTTGAATTCCAACCAGTATGTTTTAAGTTATGCTCCGGACAAGGAAAAGTATCAAAGGGCAGTAACTCTTTATTTTGTCAAAATGGAGTTATGGCTCTTGTGCACTGCACTTCCTTTTAATGTCCTTGACAACTGTATGAAGTTGTATTGAATTTCAAACAGTAGTTTTCAAATTATGCTCTGGACAAGGAAAAGTAACAAAAGGCAGTAACTCTGTAATAAGTCAAGATGGAGTTATAGTTCTTGTGCACTGCACTTCCTCTCAATGTGCTTGACCATTGTATTAAGTTATAATGAATTCCATCAATTAGTCTCCAAGTTTGGTCCGGACAAAAGAAAGTAATAGAAAAGTAACAAAGGGCAAAAACTCTGTAATTACTTTAGATAGAGTTATGGTTCTTGTGCACTGCACTTTCCCTTATTGTGTTTGACAATTGTATGAAGTTGTTTTGAATTCCATCCAGTAGTTTTCAAGTTATGCCCCGGACAAGAAAAGTAACAAAGGGCAATTACTCTGTAATTACTTTAGATAGAGTTATGGTTCTTGTGCACTTCACTTCCCCTTGTTGTGTTTGACAATTGTATGAAGTTGTTTTAAATTCCAACCAGTAGTTTTCAAGTTATCCCCCGGACACAGAAAAGCAACAAAGGGCAATAACTCTGTAATTACTTTAGATAGAGTTATGGTTCTTGTGCACTGCACTTCCTCTTATTGTGCTTGACCATTGTATTAAGTTATAATGAATTCCTACAATTAGTCTTCAAGTTATGCTCCGGACAAAAGAAAGCAATGGAAAAGTAATAAAGGGCAATAACTCTGTAATTACTTTAGATAGAGTTATGGTTCTTGTGCACTGCACTTCCCCTTATTGTGTTTGACAATTGTATGAAGTTGTTTTGAATTCCATCTTGTAATTTTCAAGTTATGCCCGGACAAGGAAAATAAACAAAGGGCAATAACTCTGTAATTAGTCAAGATAGTGTTATGGTTCTTGTGCACTGCACTTCCTCTCAATGTGCTTGACCATTGTATGTAGTGATATTGAATTCCAACCATTAGTCTTCAAGTTATGGTCCGGACAAAAGAAAGGAATGGAAAAGTAACAAAGGGCAATAACTCTGTAATTAATTTAGATAGAGTTATGGTTCTTGTGCACTGCACTTCCCCTTATTGTGTTTGACAATTGTATGAAGTTGTTTTGAATTACAACCAGTAGTTTTCAAGTTATGCCCCGGACAAGGAAAAGTAACAAAGGGCAATAACTCTGTAATTAGTCAAGATAGAGTTATGGTTCTTGTGCACTGCACTTCCTCTCAATGTGCTTGATCATTGTGTGTAGTTATATTGAATTCCAATCATTAGTTTTCAAGTTATGCTCCGGACAAGGAAAATGCAATGGACGTCTGGACCGACCGACCGCCCGACCAACCGACCGACCGACCGACCACCGAGTGACTCCTATATACCCCCCCCCAAACTTCGTTTTTGGGGGTATAAAAAAGACTGCCCACTATAAAGCCAAACAGAGAAAGCAGTGTAAATCAACCATACACATTACAACAACTGTCGGTATTAAAGACATCTTTCTTCATGTCTAAAGTTTTGATAACTTGCGGTGGTGGTGTTGCTAGTTTTCACTGCGGATCAATTTTGCCAGGAAGTGAAACTTCTGTACATATCAAAGGGGATGGACAATGCCCGACTAACAGTCCATTACCCCGCCCTTCCTATTGAACTAACTTGATGCATTAATTGATAGATTGGGTAGGTTGGTAGTCTTTGCTTAAGGAGGGTCAAACCGCCCTTTTGGGCACTGAAAGTACTAACCCGGACATGTCAACAGTCAGGCCCTTATTCTGTATTAATATCAATAGTGGTAACCTATTTGATTCAATAGCAGGATACCACGTCATCACCCACCTGCTGAATGGTCCCACTAGAACCATTTTTTGTAGAAATACCATCGACTCAAAAGTAAAGTACAGTTTTATTGTAAAAAAATGTTAGAGTATGAAAATATAGTGTAGCGCACCAAATAATGAATACAGTCCTTGAGCATATTGTGAGAAAAGTTTATAGAATTATTGCCTGGTTTAGGCCTCAAAACAGGATAGATTTTATCTTTGAATGCTCCCACTCGGACTTTACCCACAACCTATTGAAAACCTTCTTCAAAATTGTTTAACATATACCAAAGCATAAACAAAGTATTGTTTACACATTTTTGAGATTGGTTACATTATTTTTATTCAAAAGTCAGTTTTTCTTATTTGCTTTATAAAAATGGAAAATGCTCCCACTTGAAGTACATGGAATACTCTTTTAGTACTATGTTCTTTAAACACATCTTTACAAAACATTCATTGTAAATTGTTTGTTTGTTTGTTTGTTTGTTTGTTTGTTTCATTTTACGCCTTTTTCCAACAGTATTTCAGTCATATAGGCGGGTAGTTTCCTAACCATCGTAAATTAATTTAAGCATAAATATTTATTGAAATATACCTTTTTCAATAGACACAAGTCCAATCTTTGATCTCCTATGTTTTGAGACTTTACATAGAATGTTTTTCAATTGCCCAAATGATAAATACATGTAGTTGTATATTGAAATATTAAAAAATTAAGTTACACCTATTAATTAAAACTCACCTAAAACACTGATTTTCTAATTTTTAATTACAGTTTAATCTGACCTAATGACCTATGCAAATCTTAAAATATTTGAAAACAAAACCTTCCATTAAAATTTAATGATACATTAGATAGTTTTACTCACTGACTCCAAAGGCAAAATAATCCCATGCCTCTTTGGCATGGCCCCCTTTTCCAATTTCAGGATGAGCATAAAAGTCTCTTCCACTAGCCTTTGATGTTGTATCGCTTGTTTCCCTTGCCAGTCCAAAGTCAATAAGTCTAGCATTGTAATTGTCATCTAGTACAATATTTCTAGATGCTATATCTTTATGTAGAACAGCTTCCCTGAAAAGATAGGTATCATCCAAAACGTCCGAGTGTGAATTGTATGTTACAACATAAATCAATTTCAAGCTGTTTTAAACAAGAAATGTCAAACAACACATATGCCCCCCCCCCCTTTCTAGCCTTTGACTCACATTATTGGTAATTTTGATAAAAAAAAACTTGCCATAACTGGGTACATGGAAGTGTTCAGTTATGAAAAAAGATAAATAATGACCTACTAGTTATAACCAATCAATATGTGAAATATAAAGAGCTTGACCTTTGATCTAGTAACCCCATTATGACTAATAAATATGTTAAATATAAAGACTTTGTGATAAACAAGTTTTCAAGGTAATAAGCAGAAACCATATTTACATTTAAGGCCCCTGTGACCTTGACCTTTGAACTAGTGATCTAAAAATCAATAAGGGTCATCTACTACATATGGCTATTCAATATGTGAAATATGAACTTTGTGATAAATAGTTTTCATGATAATGAGCAGAAATCATTCTGACATTTAAGGTACCTATGACCTTGAATTTTAACCTAGTTACCCAAAAATCAAGAGGGGTTATCTAATAGTTATGACCAATCAATATGTGAAATATGAAAACTTTGTGATAAATTGTTTTCAAGATAATGAGTGTAAACCATTCTGACATTAAAAAGACACCTGTGACCTTGACCTTTAACCAAGTTACAGCAAAATCAATAAGAGTCATCTAATAGTAATGACCAATCAATATTTTAAATATGAAGACTTTGTGATAAATTTTTTCAAGATAATAAGCAGAAACCATTCTGACATTAAAGATCCCAGTGACCTTGAGCTTTGAAGTAGTGACCAAAAAATCAATAGGGGTCATCTAATAGTTAAGACCATTCACTATGTGAAATATGAAGCCTTTGTGATAAATAATAAAGATAATGAGCAGAAAACAAACTTACATTCAAGGCCCCTGTGACCATAACCTTTTACCTAGTGACCCCAAAATCAATAAGGGTCACCTACTAGTTATGACCATCAGTTTGTGAAATATGAAAACTTTGTGATAAATAATGAATAAAGTAGGTGAGGAACACACGTACAACACCGGGTCATTTTTAAAAAGTTTTTATTGGCTACTAGTTTCGAGTAATACAATACTCTTCATCAGGCTTAAAAAATATCAAAATCTAACTACTGAAGTACTGTTATTTAGGGATACTTTTTTGTGTTTTGTTACTATAAATAGAAGTATTGTTGCTAATAATAGATATAGTTTTGGCACTGTTTCAACGAGCTTATCATTAAGTATATCATGTATAGTGTTTGAATAAAAAGGATCACAAGTTAATTATGCTTTGTTTAATAACCCATTAATCTGTCCAATGTTTATAATGAGTTTGTTTGTTTCACAAAACATACCATGCTCATCTTGGCAAACCATTACTGTACAAGACGGTGAGGAGGGTTCCTCAAAATTTGTAGTTTGAAGAATACCTGTGTTGTCCTTACTAATTTGAGATAAATAGTTTTCAAGATTATATTAAGCTGAAACTATTCTGACGTTTAAGGCCCCTGTGACCTTGACCTTTGACCTAATGACCCCAAGATCAATAGGATTTATCTACAAGTTATGACCAATCACTATGTGAAATATAATAATTTTGTCATAACAAGCTTTCAAGATAATGAGCTGAAACAATACTACCATTCAAGGCCACTATGACCTTGACCTTTGACCTAGTGACCCCAAAGTCAAAAGGGGTCATCTACTGGTTATGACCAATTAATATGTGAAATATGAAGACTTTGTAATAAGTAGTAGTCAATATAATGAGCGGAAAACATTCTAATATTTGAGGCCCCTGTGACCTTGACCTTGGACCTAGTGATCCCAAAATCTAAAGGGGCCATCTACTAGTTATGACCAATCAATATCTGAAATATGAAGACTTTGTGCTAAATAGCAACCAAGATAATTAGCAAAAACCATTCTAACATTTACGCCCCATGTGACTTTGACCTTTGACCCAAAAATCATTTGGGTCATCTACTAGTTATGACCAATTGGTATGCAAAATATGAAGACATTGTGATAAATAAAAACCAAGATAACGAGCGGAAACCATTTTGATATTTAAGGCCCTGCAACCTTGACCTTTGATCTAGTAACCCCAAAAATAAATAGGGGCCATTTAGTTATGACCAATCACTGTGTGAAATATGAAGACTTTATGATGAAAAGTTTTCAAGATAATCAGCAGAAACCATTTTGACATTAAAGGCCCCTGTGACCTTGACCTTTGATCTAGTGACCCCAAAATCAATAGGGGCCATCTACTAATTATGACTAATTACTGTGTGAAATATGAAGACTTTACGATGTCTAGTTTTCAAGATAATCAGTGGAAACCATTTTTACATTAAAGGCTCCTGTGACCTTGACCTTTGACCTAGTGACTCCAAAAACAATAGGAATGATTTTCTGGTTATGATCAATCACTGTGTGAAATATGAAGACTTTATGATGTCTAGTTTTCAAGATAATCAGTGGAAACTATTTTGACATTAAAGGCCCCTGTGACCTTGACCTTTGACCTAGTGACCCCAAAATCAATAGGGGTCATTTACTAGTTGTGAAATTGAAGACTTAATGATAAATAGTTTTTAAGATATCAGAGGAAACCATGTGGTGTACTGACGGACAGACCGACCAACCTACCGACATTAGCAAAACAATATACCCCCTCTTCTTCGAAGTGAGGCATAAAAAATCAACTTCATTAAGTGATTACAAAAGTATATCTATTTTTAAAATTTGCTTACAATACAATTTATAATAAAAATACAATAGTTGTACAAAATAACTAACAAACCATAAGGTAACCAAAAAGCCCCCATGCATATATAAGTTCCTAGAGGAACTAAATCTTATACAGCTCTTTCAAACTAACATGGAATGAAAAATTTTAATTGGTAAAAATATATATATTTACACTGATGTGTGAATTTGTATTACATTTCCATTGCACATTGGATTTTATTAATCTTAAATATATTTTACACATTACCTGACTTTTGATACTTCAGTATGAATGTACTGGATTGCTAATGCTATATGAAGTAGAATTTTTGTTCTTTTCTCCATGTTAAGATCTTCACTGTTGCATTGAATGACACCATGAAGGTCCCCTTTATTGCCTCGTGGAGAAACAAACCATACTTCTGGTTTCCTTAAAAATATTAAAAATCAAGCTTCAAAAGAAATTGTTCAAACCAAATAATGTTCCCATATGTGTCTGTTTGTCTGAGAGAATTGAAATCAGGGAACTACTACCAAAGGCCTCTAAATACAATTATAATTTATAAAATATAAATGATGCTTTAGAACAATAGTATAAAGCATATTGCAAGATTTACAGTACATGACAAGAGGGCCATTGTGGTTCTGTATCACTCAACTGAAAATGTCACAATTCAATACAGAAGTAAGTAATAAGGGTGTGTAATTCTTTACCTGAATTGTATATTTAATAAAATATTTGTAGAGGTTTTCTAGGAAATGACATTGAGTACCAAATATTAAAATGTGTTAAGCTATTAACCCATTACGCGATATACACGCTGTTAATACCTTTTTGACCCCCCCCTTTTTGTTGTCTCAAATGGTGAAAAAAATGCCTTATTTAGGCCCCCAACACTTGTTTTTGTTTGAGAAATGTTGTTAAAAAAAGTGCCAACTTTTTCGGCGCGGCCAGTTACCAGAACCATATTTTTTATCTATTGCTTTTTGGCAATAAGTTGTTAGTGTTTTGTATGGAAGTCAAAATACTACTTTGGTTTCATTTTGCTAATTTTATGACAAATTAATTCATATTTATCGCTAATTGCTCAGGTAATATTTTAATATCCAACATTTTTGTAAACTATCATTTAAACATTAGTTTTATGTTTACCCTTTCTAAAGAAGTAAATATTTATTTGTTTCTGAGGCACAATGTGCTTTTAAAAAATGAAATACATCTATAAGATAATTGTTGCGTTATTTAACGATAGTATTAAAAGAAGTGTCTACCCTTCTGGACGATCAACAACAGCCAACAGTGGAAGAATAAATGGATGCATTATTCTGGATGCCATCATTTCCTGGAAATAAAATATAAAGTAAGTTTAATGTCTCAATTATTGTGTTACTGACATTAAAAGCCCATTCATATTCATAAACATTCATGGCAGATCAAGTTGTATGTGTCGACTTCACCTGTACAAAGATTTACTGGCTTTAATAAGCTAAGCCATCACTTAACAGTCAATAAGATTCAAACAAATACAGTGAAGGCTTCTTGTTTTGAGTCATCCCAGAGTACAACTCGAGGCAAATTACCATGATAGCTTAATCTTTTTCCTTAATATTTATCAATCTTGACAAATGTTGTAACTACATGTAACTGTTTAAATAAACAGTTAAAAAACTAAGATGAGCGTTAACAATATTCGAAATATCTAGTAACAAGAGGGCCATAATGGCCCTGAAGTCGCTCACCTTTTTAAAGGCCCCCAGGGCGGGTCCAGTTTAAACTCCCGTGCTTTTATTTAAACAAACTTGGTAGACACCCATTAAAAGATGTTTCATGCTAAACATCTAAGGTCTTGCTCGTTGGGTTTTTTAAAAGAAGATTTTATAAGTTTTTTCTTTACACCTATAGTTAAAAACAATGACACACCTGGGGAAGGGCCAGTTTTGACCCCAGGGCTTTTATTTGAACAATCTTTGTAGACACTTTCTAGAAGATGTTTCATGCTTAGTATCTAAACTCTAGCTATTTGTTTTTTTTTCTCAAAGAAGATTTTTAAAGTTTTTGCTATACACATATTAGGAAAATCAATGCCCCCCAATTTTGACCCCATAGCTCTTTTTTTGAACAAACTTGGTAGACATTCATTAGAACATGCTTCATGCTAAATATCTTAGCTTTAGCTACTTGGGTTCTTTAAAAGAAGATTTTTTAATTTTTTACTATATGCATATAGCGAAAAAAATACCCCCCTGGGGCGGGGCCAATTTTGACCCCAGGGCTTTTATTTGAACAAACTTGGTAAACGGGGCCAATTTTGACCCCAGGGCTCTTATTTGAACAAACTTGGCAGACATCCATTAGAACATGTTTCATGCTTAATATCTTAGCTCTAACTCTTTGGGTTCTTTAAAAGAACATTTTTCTAGTTTTCTACTATATGCATATAGGGGAAATCAATAACCCCCTGGGCCGGGGCCAATTTTGACCCCAGGGCTTTTATTTGAACAAACTTGGTAGACACCCATTTAAAGATGTTTCATGCTAAATATCTTAGCTCTAGCTCTTTGGGTTCTTTAAAAGAAGATTTTTTTAATTTTTTACTATATGCATATAGGGAAAATCAATGACCCCCTGGGGCGGGGCCAATTTTGACCAAAAGAGCTTTTATTTGAACAAACTTGGTAGACACTTACTAGAAGATGTTTCATGTCAAATATCTAAGCTCTAGCTCTTTGGGTTTTTTAGAAAAAGATATTTAAAGTTTTTTCTTTTGGTTGCCATGGCAACCAGAGTTCTGCATGGAATTAAATTCTTTAAACAATTTTCAAAGGTGACCAACAAAGGAACATTCCTGTGAAGTTTGGATGAAATTGGCTTAATGGTTTATGAGGAGATGTCATTTAAAGTAAAAGTTTACGGACGATGGGAGGACGCTGGACGAAAAGCGATCACAAAAGCTCACCCTGTCACTTTGTGACAGGTGAGCTAAAAAGCAGCAAAACTTCCTGCTTTTGAAAATGTTAATCATACTTTTAAACAAATGTACTAAATATTAAAATAAAGCCTCACTCTAATTATTGATTGGTTTTTTCCTTCTCCACCTAAAGGTATCTTTTTAATAACAATATGCATTCCAAAACCCTCCGAAGGGTTCTCACCTGAAATTTAAAGGATAATCTGTTGTCTGTAAATGTTTAACAAAAGAGGGCTATGTAATTAGTGCCCAACTGAAATCACCAATGCTTGACTGATATGTAGATTATAAGATATATTTAAAGATCCTGTAACACACTTTTTTATACAGTTTTATATCATAAAACATGATGCTCAAATTAAGATTTATCGATTTTGTAAGTTCCGAAAAGCATTATTTTTAAAGATATTACCGAATTTAACATGTAAATAAAGGGATGCAATAAAAATCTATTTTCTACATTGTTCTATAAAGACTTAGTCAAATATTTCAATAAGAAATGAATGCATATATTTTAATGATTACATATAATATATTGTACAAATATTTGCAGTACATATTTTACATATTCTTCTATGTTTGAACATATATATAATTTCACTCAAGTGTGGTATACAACCTCAATTACAACTTACAGGATAAACAAATTGCCAATGAAAATTGATCTACATCAATGATTCTATTTTGACAAACTTGTGAGCGCTAAAATTTCGAGACAAAAAACTTTTCAATTCAAACAAGAGAGTTACAGTTCGATGTAATTTATACATACAATTAATATGCAATATAGTTTACGTACTTTTAAAAACTTTTCCAAATGAACCTTGCCCAATAGGAATGGTGTTGTTCTCCCTCAAGTCATCAATGTCTGCTTGTTCAAGTTTGATCAAACGGCCATCAAAAATACATGTATTTTTAGGAGGAATATATGCTTTTAATTTCTTGCGTTCAGTCAGAGAGCCCATTTGCCTTTCATTTGCACTTGACTTAATGCCCACTGCTCTAAACTGACCTTTATTTAGACTTCCATAGTTTTCCTGCACACCTTGCATAGTCTGCAGACAACTTTCAATTTCTCCTGTGTTATTATTGAAAATACAATAATTGAAAATCTTATTTAGATCAATCATTGGGGCTCTTAATATGGGATATAATGAAAAAGATAATTCAGAAATTTGGATACTTATAATTAAATTGAAATTCAGAATAAATCAAATCTGTCCATTATAATTAATATCATGTTACCGGTATGACAATTAAAGCTATTTAATACATTTCATGAAACTTACATGTAATAAAACTAGAACTCCGCGAGTCGGATGTGTCGCCTTGTGAACAATATAGTTTAGGAGAAATGGCCAGGACAAAAATGAAATATGAAAACTAACAAAGGGCAATAACTCAAAAAAAAATAAGTGCAGAGCAGCAGTTTCTGTGCACCGCACTTCTTATCAATAAGATCTATCAATTTATGAAGTTTCAAGTCCATATCTTTTATAATTTATGAGAATAAGCCTAGATAAAAATAAAGTATGAAAATTAATAAAGGGTAATAACTCACAAATAAGAAGTGCAGAGTACTGGTTCTTGAACACTGCACTTTATCTAAATGAGATCTATCATCCTATGAAGTTTCATGTCTATAGCTTTCATACTTGAGGAGAAATGACTAGGACAAAAATAAAGTAAGAAAATCAACAAAGGGTAATAACTCAAAAAATAAGAAAAGTTCTTATGCACTGCACTTCTTCTTAATGAGATATATCATCCTATGAAGTTTCAAGTCCATAGCTTTTATACTTTCGGAGAATGGCCCGGGCAAAAATTAAGTATGAAAATTAACATAGGGTCAAAACTCAAAAAATAAGAAATGCAGAGTACCGATTCTTGTGCACTGCATGTCTTCGTAATAAGATCTATCATCCTATGAAGTTTCAAGTCCATAGCTTTTTTAGTTGAAGAGAAATGACCAGGACAAAATTAAAGTACGAAAATTAACAAAGGGCAATATCTCAAAAAAATAAGAAATGCAGAGTACCTGTTATTGTGCACTGCACTTCTTCTTAATGAGATCTATCATCCTATGAAGTTTCAAGTCCATGGCTTTTATACATAAGGAGAAATGGCCCGGACAAAAATAAAGTATGAAAATTAACAAAGGGCAATAACTAAAAAATTAGGAAGTGCAGAGTACCGGTTCTTATGCACTGCACCTCTTCTTAATGAGATCTATCATTCTATAAAGTTTCAAGTCCATAGCTTTTTTAGTTGAAGAGAAATGGTCCGGACAAAAATAAAGTATGAAAATTAACAAAGGGCAATAACTCAAAATTTAAAAACTGCAGAGTACCGGTCCTTGTGCACTGCACTTCGGGTTATTAAAAGAATCATGCATACCAAGTTTGAAGTCAATCAGACTTATAGTGACTGAGTTATGCTCCGGACAAGCTTTATGGGACGCCGACAACGACGCCGAAACCGAGGCCGCCGACAAAAGTAACCCCTATATGTCGCCTTTTCAAGGTGACACAAAAAATTAATGTGTTACTATCACTAAAATTTCAAAATGTGCAATAATGTTGAACGAAAGAAATATATTCCTTTTATTTAACATGTATATATTTCTTCCTTAATGATAATGAATGTCACAATGGAAATCAAGGAAGATTAGCGTAACAAGAATGATGTAAGAGTTGCCTATATAAGTCACAAGTTGTCTATATGTTGAAACAAAATGGCTGTGTTTATAAACAGTGAAGTTTATAATTAGCAATATGTTGAATGGCTGAAATCGACCCCCACCATATATATTGCCAAAACTAAACCACTTTTAAAATAAGTACTTTAATAATACAGTATAACTCTATTAAATACATCAACAAACATTATTTTATGAATTCTATGTTTAAACTAGACCATCAGTAGCAGTGACATATACTCCACCATCTCTATAACATATGATTTTATGTATACAAGTTGATTTATTGATCATTATTTTTCAATGTGAACATTGCAGCTTAGTCTTAAGAAAATCCTTCAGAGTATAAAATTTATCCTGCTGATATAAAAGTGTCTTACATTTTACCAAACAGTTGAGGGGGACCTTATCTATCCTTAAGAGGTTAAGGATTGATAGATGACATTTGACCTTCAATGGTGACATTAATCTTGATCCTACACAAGTGCAGCTTAAATGTAGGTTTTGCACATAGTCTTGTTAGAGTGAACATGTTAGCCATGTTAAAAGAAGTCCTTCAAGAGGTATAGGATATAATTATAGAGTTAACACAAAAATTATCTGACATTTGACCTTCAAGTAGGATGACCTTGAGGTTGCATAGGTCCTGCTCATTGACCTATTGAGGTGAAAATTTAAAAATCCTACAAGAGGTTAATTGTTAAAATAGTTGGCATGAAATTGTCTGAAATTGACCTTAACAGTAACCTTGACCTTAAAAGTCACACCAATTGCTTTTGATCTACATTCACATAATTAATAGGCATTTTACGTTCCAGGTGTGACCTTGACTTTGAGTTTGTACAGCAGTGACACGAGTTTTTCACATTGACTTGTTGCAGTATTTAAGCCTAATTTGAAGAAAAATCTTCAATGGGTAAAGCATTTATACAGTGGACATGAAATCTTATTTGACCTTACAGTGAGACCTCCTTGACCTTGAGCTGTCACAGCGGCAGCTCAGGTTCTGCACATTTCCTTGTTGAGATGAAAGTTTTGAGCCAATTTTGAAGAAAATCCAGCAAGGGGTATAGCATTTATAAAGTGGACTTGGGGAAATTGGATAGACAAGTGACCTAAACTGAATAAGGGGAAATTTTACTTTTGGTTATTTTCTTCCATTTAGCACTTTACACAAACAAACAGAAAAACGATCAAATCTATATCTCTCGGGATTAAAGATAAAATGATATTTACTTTCAAGACCTTCCCAATTGATGTTGACAGCATGGGGAACTTTCTTCAGACTCAACAAAAGATTTTTCACCGTAGCTTCGGACCCATTCATTCCACGCCAAACAGAAAGTTAAGGCCCCTGTGACCTTGACCTTTGACCCAGTGACTTCAAAATCAATTTTTCCTTTCTAATAGCTTTTGATTTTGATGTAGAAAATGGGTAGGTATTAAAATCAGTGTAAAAACTAGAACTGCCACTGTCATAGCGTGAATACCCATGCATACCACTTTGACAGAATTAACAGTGGCCATTTACAGCTCAAGGACAAACTCCCTGCCAAATCTGAGGTAACTTAGCCAGTGCATTGCTAAGTTATGTATTCTACATGCTTCAAATGTGAAAATGTCAAAATCAATGCACTGCAGACAGGCATTCTTAAGCATTTGAGCAGACAAGCTTATTATAGTAAAATCCCTGTGACCTTGACCTTTGACAGTCACCTTAAATCAAAGGGGTCATCTACTAGTCATAAACAACCTCGATACCAAATATGTCTTCAAGACTCTGGACCTAAGCATTTTTAAGCAATTGAGCGGACAGGCATTTTTAGTCAAGGCCCCTGTGACTTTGACCTTTGACCCAGTGACTTCAAAATCAATAGGGGTCACCTAATGGTCATGCTCAACCTCCATGCCAGAAATGATGACTGTGGGTCAAAGGTTTCTTAAATGATTGGGCCGACAAACTTTTGAATTCTAAATCCCTGTGACCTTTGACCCAGTGACCTCAAAATCAATAGGGGTCATCTACCAATCAAGACTAACCTCCAAATAAAATATGAAGACTTCTGGTCAAAGGAATCTTAAGTTATTGGGAGACAAGTTTTTTTAGTAAAGGCCCCGGTGACGTTGACCTTTGACCCGGTGACCTCAAAATCAAAAGGGGTCATCTATCTATCATGGCTAACCTCCATGCCAAATATGAAGACTGTGTGTCAAATGAATCTTAAGTTATTGGGCGGACAAGCCTTTTTCAATCAAGGCCCCTGTGACCTTGACTTTTGACCCGGTGACCTCAAAATCAATAGAGGTCATTTATTAATCATGGCTAACCTCCATGCCTAATATGAAGACTGTGGGTCATAGGAATCTTAAGTTATTGGGCGGACAAGCTTTTTTCAGTCAAGGTCCCTGTGACCTTGACCTTTGACCCAGTGACCTTAAAATCAATAGGGATCATCTACTATTTATGATCAATCTAAATACCAAATATGGAAATTGTGGGTCAAAGAAATCTTAAGTTATTTGGCGGCCAAGCTGTTTGAAGTCAAGGCCCCTGTGACATTGACCTTTGACCCAGTGACTTTAAAATCAAAAAGGATTATCTACTCATCATGACTAGCCTCCATGCCAAATATAAAGACTATGGGTCAAAGGAATCTTAAGTTATTGGGCGGATAAGCTTTTTTCAGTCCAAGCCCCTGTGACCTTGACCTTTGACCCAGTGACCTCAAAATCAATAGGGGTCATTTACTTACCATGACTAACCTCCATGCCATATATGAAGACTGTAGGTCAAAGGAATCTTAAGTTATTTGGCGGACAAGCCTTTTTCAATCAAGGCCCCTGTGACCTTGACATTTGACCCAGTGACCTATGTTTGTCTTAATAATCAATAACCAGTGACCTCAAAATCAATAGGGGTCAGGGAAGACAGATCCTTACCGTGCTCTCCAATTTCCTCTATGACTGGACCATGTGTTGTATTATTAATTTTTTCAGTGGCAGAATATACAGTATTACTAAATTTTCTTGGTCGTCTTGTATTTTCCAATGGAACAATTGAAGCGTCCATTTTCCTAACTTTGTTTGGTATTTCTTCATTTCCGTAAATCATTATATGTCTTTTAACCTGCATTTTTTTCCGTTTTAAAATTAATTCTCCAGATGATAATACTGAGCATCTGTCAGACAACGGCCCTGGAGAACCTGAAGAACTAGTCAGGGAAGAGAGATCCATATCTTGCTCTCCAATTTCCTCTATGACTGGACCATTTGTTGTATTATTATTTTCTTCAGTTGCAGGATACGCAGTATTACTAAATTCTCTTGTATCTAAATCTACAGTATTCCGCGCTTCTTCGTTAGCTAATGGTAATACCGTACATTGAGGAGCATTCGGCAACATATAACATGTATTTCGTATTTCATTACATGGAAAATATTGTAACGTTTTATCACCACGGTTTGGCTTCATTATCATATGAAACGTTGGCTGAAATTTACTTCTTTCTGGAAGCCTGGGAAGTAATGGTGGCATTCTGAAAGAATATTCATTTGATAATCACTTTAATTTAGTAATGGGAAACTACGAGGAGTGTTCAAATATGAGTCTATCTAATCACGTAAAATTTGATTCTTCATAGGTTTCACTTAATTTTTCATTCTGTTCCCTGAAAGTATACCCCTCTAATAGATATACAAACTTTCATTCACCAAATTCAATATTTGAAGGCACTTTCGTAGTCTTATTTAGGTATACTATGAAGACACCGGAACATTGCAAAAAAACTTAGCGTATTTGCGCTTAACAAATTGAACACATTGTCGACCTGAAATATATCGTTATAGTTTTGAAAACAAAAAGAAGTCACAATTAAGGTGCAAGTCAGGTGAATACAAAGTATGAAAGAGTACAACGACTTTTTTTTTGTTTCAGAAAGTCTTGCAATATAAAGACGCCTTGTGCGATGACGCGTTGACATGCAACAATCCGACATTGACCAAACCTGTTTCGAGTCTCCGTTGTCAACGTGTTTGTTTAGTTTTCGAAGAACCTCACATTTAACAGATTTGCCTTACGAAACAGCAACTTGTACCCTTACTTGTAAGGAAAATTACAAAACCTTCTCTACACTCATTTTTGCAATGCGTTGTCTTTTGGCAGCATTTGTAGCCAAGATCTTAGTTTAAACAATATTTATTTCCAGAATTTAAAAATCATAGATAAACATTTCATCCAGAAAGACATTGTATAAAAGACTGAATATATAGATTTAGTGGTAAACAATGCTAAAAATTAATAACTTATTCAAATTCGGAGGAGTATTTGAGTATTTGAAAATAAGTCAAAGACTTACGTCAATTAATTTCCTCAGTGGGTTGGAAAGGATGACGGCTGACTCGTAAAATAACGTGTAATGTTTTGAGATTAGAATTTACAATAAAGATGATAAAAGAGTCCCAGTGTGGGAACTGAGTTGTTTGCTACCGATAAGACTTAACATAAGTTAACTTAATATAATGTATAAATCATGCTTATGAAGTCGTTCTGCAACATGCGCAAGCACTGTGATGTGAAACGTTTGGTGGCGGTATTTTTGAACGCAACTAAAGATACTTGTGTTTTGTTCAAAGTTGAGATTTACAGAGCCATATTTCAGCGAAATATTTAATTGTGGTTTTGTTCATTTGTAAGTCAGGGTGTAGAGGTTTGTTGGTTTTTTTACGCGAGAATATCATGGATTCTGTCTTATTTGGATTGAAGTCGATTAACCAGGATTTTGCCCAATAATGTATATTTTGCAAGTAATTATTAAAGTGACATTATGCTCATAATTTCATAGTAACGTTGAGCTGAATTGACTTTATATTTCAAAAGATTGACTATCAAAATGGTGTTTGACCAACAATTGATATTGGAAAATGTTTAGGATAAAATTATAAATCTGCCTTATAAAAAAGACTTTAAAAGCTTTTAAAAAAGACTGCCCCACTCTTTTTATAGACTAAGCGATATAGGTAAATTCTAATGGATATTTACAGAATTTTATTTGGATCTGTGCATTATTTATTGTTTATGCGAACTAAATTATTAAATTAAATGGAATTATGGCAAAATGAAAACTTATTTTTATCTTCACCCGTTCACACACTATATACCCTTGGATGGGCATAATGTCACTTTAAGAATCAAAGAGGCAGAGTCAGGTAGGTCAACAATAAGATGGAGACTAGTGTCGTCTGCAAAAGTCTGATGTTTGATTTTATTTTACTGACAATATCATTAATATAACTGAGGAATAATCAGGGTCCTAAGATTGAGCCTTGTGGTACACCAGCTAATATATTACTCCAGTTTGACATTGAATTTCTAATAACAACACGTTGTTGACGATTTGACAAATATAAAGTGAACCTTTGGTAAAGTTGACCGAATATACCTATCGACGATAATTCACTAAGTAGGCCACGGTGCCAAACACGGTCAAACGCCTTTGAGATATCACAAAAGATCATTATAATTCTTTGCCATCATCAAGGGCTTTACAATTATCGTTATAAATGAATATCAGTTGGTTGGTGGTGGATTCACCTTTTATAAACCAAGATTGAAAGTCAGAAAATATATTGTTTGATTTGTCAGACCTTGTTTTGGTGTTTTCGTTTTGGCTCATGAAAATGAACCCTCATGTTTTGTCACCAGCCTCGACAATTGCAAAATACTGTGCATTGTAATTTGGACACCGTTAAAGAGACAACTTAGCGAAATGCACGCACCTTTTTTTGCTCATCTTTCAGAAAACGGGGAATCCATCGAGCTGCTCTTAATGAGATACTAGCTATATGACTTGTGGTATATCTTGCATCGGTAAACACTATTTCTCTCACTTTAGCAAGCATCTTGATAGATATTGCTGTTTTTGACCGACGGACATGGAGTGCATCTCCAGTCAAGATTTTAACCCATATTTAATCTTTTAACCGACTACTAACTGATGAAAAAGACATTTCATTTTGTTCGTATACAAAACAGATTTCATAAAAATGTGTTTAATGTATTAACACCTTATGACAATGAGACAATTACCGTATTTCAATGACATACACTCTTCTTCTATCAACCATTTTTGTAAAACAATATACAAGTAGACAATGACAACAGAGCATTAAAGCCAGCGAAGGTGTAGTATCAATGTAAAGCATTTAAGCTAACATGTATATCTACCCAAAAATCTTCATTTATTTTTAGTTTTTTTGCAATAGTGTACAATATAACGTCCCATTTGAACACTGTAATAAACGTAAACTAATATTGTTTTGGAGAAAGACACAAAAGCGACCTAGATATATGTTAATAGATTTCACTCACAATAAAATAGTTCCACAATCAAATTACCTCATTAATTCTTTTAAATTTTCTAGAAGAAGATTATTTGATCTTTCTCTCAACGCTTCCTCTATGTACTCTGTGCTCACATTAGATCCCATGATCTGTTTCCATTGGTTAAATAGCTCGAACATTAATGTTTCGGAATCTCCCCCGTCTCTGCGTACTCTAGTTTCAACATTTTCAATATAACTTCCAGTATCTCTGTCTCCTCCACCGTGCAAGTGATGACAACTACCTAGGAGCAATGTAAGAGAACCTTACAATAGAATTAAGAAGTATTACTTCCTTTGTTATAAAAAGGGTGACAATTTCCTAGTGATTAAGGTTAAATAACTGTACAAAATTATCTTTACACAAACATGACATCGTATTTTGCCTTTACAATTTTGATACAATACCGTATCATTAATGAAATATATTTTTCAGTTCATTTGTTACAAGTCATTAACTAGTTAAGATACTTTGAAACTCTTTTATGAATGTGTGTTAAGATTGTACATTTACTATAGTACTCAGTACTCTTTTTGAACTTACCGTATAATATGTTGAAAAACAACTTGTGGTCAGATGCTGTTAGATTTTTAGCTAGAAACCTAAATATTTCGTCCCAATTAAATCTTGAAGATGACAGATATTCTGAAAATATTTGATCTCATTTTAGCTTATACAAAAATTAATAAATAAATGAATGAATGAAAAAATAAATAAATAAATAAATAAGTAAATAAATAAATAAATAATTATAAATAAATAACAAAAATAAATAGCCTCATATAAATGATAAAATACTTTTACATCTCGACTAAGAGTATGCGCAAAATATATAAGATTAAAAACTAGATAATATCAATTTGATAGATCCCTATCCTGTTTTTTTATTTAAATTACAATAGATTTAACCACACATATTGACATGTGCATTTTTGTTAAATTAATATGTTGTGGTGAAATCCTTATTGTATCTACTTAGCAGAAATTAAAATGACAAAGGTCAGAAATATTTGCATGTAAAGCTATTGTAAAGCTTATTATAATAACTTGCTCGGTTACAGAATGGATAGGATTTTACCTTTGTTTTGCCCTTGCACTGGACCAGTTAGGGACTGAACAATAGATATTTTAAGATTGTCAACATTTTCAACAGGAACCGGACATTCCTTGACTAGTTGTTTGTATGACGTGATAGTTTGATGACCGTTACTCTTCTTAAATTGAGTGAGCTCAGTTGGAGAACTGTTACCTCCCAACAGAGGTATATATTGTTCGCCAGCATTTGACACGATAGAAGGCTGAATTTTGTCATCGGATACATTGCCAGTAACAGTCAATTCATGTCGACTCTTGTTACATGTATATTCATCTATAACTCCATCCATATGCTTTAATGACGTGACAGTTTGTTGATCGTTACTTTCGCATATTTCAATATTGCATTGAGTGACTTTTGTACAAAGCTCGGGTAAATTGTCATCTACAGTATACAACCGAGTTGGTCTTCTATGCATTATACGCGAACTGTTTTATAACAAAATATTTAAAATTTATATTATCAGATTATTATAGTCAAATACAATAATATAATAATAATTTCAATATCTTAGGTGCTATATATATATATTACTCAAGATTATCATACTTGATATCCTTACTTTCTTTTAGATGGTCATATCATGAATATCTGAATTGATCAATTTGTAACAAAGGTAAATGTGGATAAAAATACTCCAAGAAAGAAAAAAAGAAAACAAACCGTTTCAAATATGTTCCGGTAATTGCCAAAATGATAAGCAAAATAACGTCTGAACTCAAAGCTGCTGTCAGTAATACGGATAATTCTATGTCATGATGTATCACACTATCATTTATTGTCGTATATTTTGAAGTGTTCGTTGCCATCATTGACATCGTTATTTTACTTGCATTTATAGTCGTCATCACAGGTTCAATTGTTTTTCTATTGCCTTCATAAGGACAATTAAATACAAATGATAAGTAATATAGAAATTGACCGTTTCTTTGCAGGTAGAACAATAATTATATCTACAGTAATGCTACAATATGTTGAGATAAAAAGAGTTTAATGCCTAGGTCACAAATAAAACGGCCGCCGACCGATTTAACGATTTTTACAAATTTGGCGGCATACGATATCGCGGACGCCGGGCGATTTTAAATTTAATACCTTGCGTGGTTATGAATAAAACTGTCGCCGAAAGATTTTTTTGCCGAATTGATGTTACCATCCTGGCCAAGTTTGATGACAATTGAGTCAAAAATGTGACCTCTAGTGTGTTAAAAAGGTTTTCCATAATTGGGCAATGTGACCTAATTTTTGACTGGAGACGACCCATAATCAAACTTGATATAGAAATCATCAAAACAACCTTCCTGACAAATTTCCAGAATATTTGGATGAAAACTGCAGCCAATAGAGTGTTAACAAGCTTTTTCTATTTTTAGCTCCTGTGACCTAGTTTTTGACCGGAGATAACCCATCTTCAAACTTGACCTAGAAATTATCAAAACAATCTTCCTGACAAATTTTCAGAATATTTGGATCAAAACCGCAGCCACTAGAGTGTTAACAAGCTTTGTCTATTTTTAGCTCCTGTGACCTGGTTTTTGATCGGAGATAACCCATCTTCAAACTTGACCTAGAAATTATTAAAACAACCTTCCTGACAAATTTCAAGAATATTTGGATCAAAACTGCAGCCACTAGAGTGTTAACAAGCTTTTTCTATTTTTAGCTCCTGTGACCTGGTTTTTAACCGGATATGACCCATCTTTGAACTTGACCTAGAATTCATCAAAACAACCTTCCTGACAAATTTCAAGAATATTTGGATCAAAACTGCAGCCACTAGAGTGTTAACAAGCTTTTTCTATTTTTAGCTCCTGTGACCTGGTTTTTAACCGGATATGACCCATCTTTGAACTTGACCTAGAATTCATCAAAACAACCTTCCTGACAAATTTCAAGAATATCTGGATCAAAACTGCAGCCACTAGAGTGTTAAAAAGCTTTTTCTATTTTCAGCTCCTGTGACTTAGTTTTGACTCGAGATAACCCATCTTCGAACTCGATCTGTATTTCATTTAGACAAACATTCTGACAAAGTTTGACAATGATCCAATCAAACTGTGACTGCTAGACTGTTAACAACCCAATTGTTGACGACGAACGACGCACGACGCACTACGCATGACGTACGACGACGGACGCTGGACATAGCCCCATCACTATACCTCACCTGGACCACTTCGTGGTCAGGTGATCCCAAAGAAACTAAAGCCCACGCGATATAAAACGATGAACACCGGTGCCTGTGCATGAATCGTCCGGGTACCGGGCGATATTCGTTTGTGTCTATTTGGACGCCGTGCGGGGCCCGGACGATGTCCGCCCGGGTGCCTTAAAAAATCGGACGGTGTTTTTGTATCAAAATTTGTATGAAAACGTCTTTTACATAATGCGGAAATATACTGTTAGATTTGGAATACTACTCAAAGCCATGTTTGTTGATTTTATGACAAAAAGGCAGAGTTTCTTATGTATACTTTCGATTTCCCCACAACGAGGAAACAGACATTTATGACTATAAAACTCTCTTTGGTCGTCTTGACACCAAACAAAAAAATGAATATATGAATACTCGATATGAAAGAAACACATTTTATTTACAAAATGTAGCTACTTCTGTTTGCATGAAAATTATAAAATGCAGCTGTAATATGTGTGATGAAAAAGGCACATGAAAGTAGACAAAACAAAGATAAAATCATCTATGATGTACCTGTGACTATTTAGCAAATACAAAATGTTATATGAATACATGCAACAATGAGTTTGAGACCTTAGAACTTTTTCTACATTTGAAACTTATTATTTGTTGAAACCCCCCTCATCTAACGGCTTGGGTAATATATGCAAACAACCGAAATCTGTTTAAATATATGTCGTATTGTACTAGTATTTAGAGTTTAAAACGTAACATATCTTCTTTGTGTGTACTCAAAAGATGTTTATTTTACATTTAAAAAGAGACTGTGTAGCAATTATCATTATTTTCAAATATCAAATTTGAACACACCGTTCTAAAAAATAGATTTATAGATGGTCTAACAAATAAATTAGAAGATGAATTACATCATAGAGTTATAAAAACATTTCCTAAAAGACGTGTTTATGTTGATTCAATAGACCAAACATGGGCAGTTGATTTAGCAGATATGCAACAATATTCAAAACAAAATAAACACTATAAATATTTATTAGCAGTTATAGATGTTTTTAGTAAATATGGTTGGTTAATTCCTCTAAAAAATAAAACAGGAGTAACAGTAAGTGAAGCATTTAAAACATTATTTAAAGAAAGAAAACCAATGTATATTTGGTCAGATAAAGGTTCTGAATTTTATAATCGACAAGTAAAAGAATTGTTAAAAGATAATAATATAGAATTATATTCAACTGAGAATGAAGAAAAATCTAGTGTAGTAGAACGCTGGATAGGAACTATGAAACAACGTATGTTTAAATATTTTACTGCTCATGACACTAATAAATATTATGATGTATTAGATGATTTAGTTAAAGATTATAACAATACAGTTCATTCTTCTATTAAAATGACACCTGTTGAAGCAAGTAAATTAGAAAATGAATCAACAGTGTATCAAAATTTATATCCAGAAGAAATTAAGAGCGAAGCGGTTCCCTTTAAAAAACCTAAATTCAAAGTTGGAGATAGAGTTAGAATAGCAAAAATGAAAGGTAAATTTGAAAAGGGTTATACTACTCGTTGGAGAAGAGAAATATTTGTAATTGAAAAGGTTTTAGATACAGATCCTGTTACTTATAAAATAAAAGATTTAAAAGATGAAGAAATTACAGGTAGTTTTTATGAACAAGAATTACAAATTACCGAATTTTAGGCTATAAAAATGAGTATCTTTGGACAGAAAAGAAACAACACTGAACTTGATAATAAAATGAATATACCATTAGATATGAGCGGTAATGCGATAATTAATTTAGGAGATTCGAATAAACCTAATGATGCTGTTAGCAGGAGATTTGTCTTTAGGAAAATTCAAAGTGTAATAGGTAATTATAAACTTGACGACATTAAAACAATTAAAGATTTACTAAAAACAGAAAAGTCAGACATTGATCAACTTACTGAAAGTATTAAAAATAATGAAGAAGCAATAATTACACTGCACGGTAAACTCCAGAAAGAAATGGCAATCTTATCAGAATCACTTGGTAAAACAGATGATGAAATAAAAGTTACATTGAGGACAAACATTGTTTTAATCGGAGAACAAATCAAGGAAATAAAGAATAGCATGATTAAACACAACGAACTTAAGAACAAACTTGCTGCAGCTGAGAAAAGGCTACAAAATATGTATCAGTTAGAAATAAAAGAAGAAATAAAAACGTTAAAAGATGACTCAACGGAATTGTTTAATACATTTTCTGAAAAGTTTGATGAATTCAAAGCACAACTAGAACAATCTGCTTCACAAAGAAGCGATGCCCAAGATGGAGAAATTAATACTTTAAAAGCTTCTTTAAACGATATGGAAAACTTATTACAGACAGAAATTACCAGACTTGATGTGGATGTTAAGAAAAATGCAGATGATACCCGAGATGCAGTAGTAGATATGAAAAGTAAAATAGAAACTCTCGAAAAGGTGCAAAATAAACGAGCTGATGACTTAGGTAAAATAATACTTGATACAACCTCGGACCTCTCAGTAGTAAACAAGGAGATTTCTGATATTATTAATAACAAAATATATCATGTTCCTTTATTCCATATGTGGAATGATTCTACTCTAGATGTTAAAGTTTTACCTGATAGTAAATACGAAATCGGTAAAAATAATCGTTATATTATAACTCCTGACCTATTTGTGTTTTTTGAGTCTCATTCTTCACCTGTTGTAAATTATAATAATTATATAGAAGAGGAACGTGAATCGAATATAGGTGACTTTAGAAAAGTGAGTGGTTTTACAATTAAAAAAGATGGAACATATTACATTAATATAAAACTTATAATAAAGGGTAAAGAAAATAAACCAAGCGACTTTTTATTGATATGGCAGGAAAATTACAGATCTGAAAACGAAGACAGGAATCATGAAGTACTTTTAAAAAAATCAACGGATGCAGATGTCTTTGAAGACGTTCAACACCTGCTCTTGTAAAACCTTTTGACGTATCAAGAACAAATGTGGTCCACACATCCTTAACATCGTCTGCTTGTTGAATGTAATCAATGTGAACTTTTTTAGGTGGAAGATATTCACATGATGAAATACCACAGTGTCTTCCGCCTGGCACTTCAGGTCCAAATGTCATTTTTGATAAATCTAAATCAGATGCTGTACTACTTGCAATGTGTTGGGACGAATTATTGTGTCTAAAATCTGTTCGTTTCCAAGCAGTATGACTTGTTGTGTAAATGACTCCAAGACCATCACCAGCGC